CTCAGGGCTTAAAATATTATCTACACACTGGTGGATCTCAAATTCACATGTCAGTTCATCAAAATTAAAAACTTTTGTGCTTCAAATAACGCCATCAAGAAAGGAAAAGATAACCTACAGAATAGAGGAAAATACCTGTGAGCCATATATCATATAGGAACTTGTATCCAGAGCATATAAAGAACTCTTAGAACTCAGCAATAAAAAGACAAGCGACCCAATTAAAAATAGGCAAAGAATTTGAATAAACATTTTTCTAAAAATAACATACAAGTGGCCAATAAGCACATGAAAAAAAAATGCTCAATCTAGTTTTCCAAGAAATGCAAATAAAAACCACAGTGAGATAGACTTCATGCCCATTATGATGGCTATAATTAAAAAACAATAACAAGGATTATTAAGTAACTGGAAAAAAAGGAATCCTCATACACTGCTGGTGGGACTGCAAATTGGTACAGCCACTATGGAAAACAGTATGGAGGTTCCTCAAAAAACTAAGAATTGATCTACTATATGACCCAGCAATCCCTCTACTGGGTATTCACACCAAAGACTTGAAAACCCATATCCGAAAAGATCTGCACACTGATGTTCATAGTAGCATTACTCAGTGGCCAGGACATGGAAGTAACCGAAGTGTCCTATGATAGATGATTGCCTAAAGAAGCTGTGGTACATAAATACAATGGAATATTACTCAGCTATAAGAAGAGATGATATACTGCCATTTGCAATAACATGGATGGACCACGAGATGACCATGCTAAGCGAAATAAGCCAAACAGAAAAAGTTGAAAATCACGTAATATCACTTATATGTGGGAGATAAACCTAAATGCAACAAATGAGCAGGACAAATAGAGACTCATGGACATGGACTATAGACTAGTGGTTACTAGTGTGGTGGGGAGGAGGGGGGAGGTAGATAGAGGAAAGAGGGTCAAATATAGAGGGGGTGAAGTGGGTAAAGGGGATCAAATATATGGTAGCTTTGAGTGGTAAACACACAATAGAATATACAGATGTCTAATGATTATGTACACCTGAAAATCATATAATTGTATTAACCAATGTTACCCCAATAAACAATTTAAAAAAAAGACAAAAATAAAAACAAAATAAATTACTCCTTTTCAATTCCAGTTGATACACTTCTATTCATAATGGTACTCTAAAAGTTGCCCTGCTTAAGTGTCACAATTGCAAAATATAGCATAAAACCCATATAACTGAAACTTAAAGAGTTCCACTATGTACATAGTCAACATTTACTATTTTCTCATTCAAAATCCATTTATTTGGGCTCTTTGAAAGCCTATAAATTTAAGTTAAATGAAACAATTTAATATTCTGGATCAGATTTTAAAATTTAAATGATCATGGATAGTCAATCAGAATATTTTTCTTTTTTTTTCCAGAATTTTTCTAAATGTCAACATTTAACACAATATTTTAGGTTCAAACTATGTCTAACAAAATTCTAAATAAACTTATTCTAAAATACACATGACATCCCACAAACTCAATCTTAAAATAAGCAATCCCTTAGTAGCCTGTACAGATGAATTATTTCTGCAAAATAGTGCTAAGAAGCTATTTGCAAAGCCATTCAAATATATATATATATTTTTTGAGTGATGAGGGAAATACGAGAGGTCTACAGTGTTGTCTGGAATCTATAAATAAAAACATTAATCTTATTTATGTAAATGTATATCATATTCATAAATATATATTCTACATAAATGGAAAACGTATTTGTATTTTGTTAAAGAAAATATACATCTTTATTTAAAAGTACTTTTTATTAATATTAAATTATTAAGCATTTCAAAAATAAATACTAAATATAGCGATCAGTGGTACACAATTGTTCTGGATAAAGTGAGAAAAATATTTACAGAACATACCCCACTAAAGAAATAACCAAAATGAACTTTTACATGAAATAAATATCAACATTTTTTTGTTATATCTGCAATTTTCTAAATACAAATCCACCTTGATACAAAATATTATTTTTTAGTAGTCTCTAACACTATTATATATACTACTACATATATATTACATAAGTATATATGTGCATATAGCCTATATAAGTGTCATATATGTACATATCACATAGTCTTACGTAGCATACATATATTATATGTATATATATATGCACAAAGTATATATGTATAATGTATGCCACATATAAATTATATATGACTAAAACATCTAATTGCATTTTTTCTTTAGTCTTGGGAAAATGAAGTAGAAATTTATATAAACAAAGTGAAAACAGCAAATCTCAGTAACCAAATCTGTCACATGCTCAGAATCGAAGGTGAGTTAGAAGCAAATCTGAATAATTCATGGGAGAAGATATGAGACATAAAGCAGGAAGCCTAAATTGGGGTTGAGAAATTTTATAAGTTGGCTTGTTTTTTCCAAGAGAATATAAAAGGTTCTTAAGAGATTACTATAGGTAGGGATGTATAAGAGAAACAGGTAAGAAGGGAGCTCACAGACAAAAAAAAATGGAAAGCGGAACATAATAAATGAGAGATTTACAAAAGTTGTGAAGGAAAATGAATTCAGAGTAGAGGAAAAAACTGGAGAGAGAAGAGGGAAGACAGTATAGCTACTAACAAAAGCCACAAAACAGCAGTAGACATAAATCTGAACGTTCTTGAAAAGATGCAGTGTTTGACAAAAAATCTTAACTATAATAAAGCTAAGGAGGCACATAATGAATTAAGAACCTGACAGTATTTTTCATTTTTGATAAAATTAAAAAAGCAAAAGCACTGTCTACTCTGATTGATTTAAAAAAATATATATCTAATTATTAAGCTTTGACAACAGCAGTACGTATGACACCTTCTGCTATTCTTATCAAATAAGAGGGCATCTTGAAGAACAACTTTCTAGAAAGAGAAAAGGCTATTTATCAACTTTAAACTAACTCAAAATAGTGGCAAAATTGAATAAATTCCCTACCTGCTAGTTTTGCAAACTAATCAGTATTATTAGACTCACTTAACACTAAAAATTGCATATATATGTTAGTGCAGCTCCTCTTACATTGTACACATTAACATTTTTAGCAGACTTACACCAAAAACAATTTCTGTTCTCCTAGAAAATAAGATTTATCTTAATATTCAATTCAAAAGTAGCATTGATTCCTAGCGTAATTACATACTATTGTTAACACCCTTAGAAAATGTGAACAAAATAAAAGAAAAAAAAATTTATAATGTAGACTTTGATTTTAAATAATAATCTTGCAAATACATGAAAATATTGAAAATACTCTAGTTTTGTTTTATTATTCTCATGTCATCAAATAATAAGGTGAATGCTTAGAGCACTAAATGAATTATTTCTTATACAT